AGTGGAGTCCCTTTCATTGGAAGCACTGTCAGCCGCTCAGCAAGCAGACGATCAAGACCTACTGGGTCCCTCGTACGTGGTGACGGTAGGCCTTTGTGAAGAAGATGAATTCGGTCAGATATATAGCATTGATCACGAAGTTCAAGTTCTTTTGGTGGACCTTTCTGATTCAGCGCTCCAAGCTTTCAGAGAATATGATCCGGTGACGGATTCACTGGAGGAACTGCAAGCATATGATGATCATCATCCTGCGGCATTGCCACTCTCGGCCTCCTTGGTATCTCTGGCAAAGCAGTGGACCGAGGACCTGGGACAATCTCGCCTAAATTTTTACTCGGCTCGAGAAGAGCTGGAGACTCAGAGTGTGGCGCCCAAGACCCCAGGTCAACCGAAGAAGGCGGCGCCCAAGAGACTCACAAATGCCGCTTTGGCAGAACAAGTCGCTGCGCTGGCTACTCAGGTACAAGCTTTGACGGCACTTCAACAGATGCCAAGACCGAGGCCCGAGACTGCTGCGCCCTCTGCCGCGCCTGCAGGAGGACAACGGCTTGGTCTAGGCCTTGGACCTTATCCACAAATGCCGGCACTGGGTCAAGGGTTTGCTCATCTGGGACGGCCCAAGGATGCGGCCGTCAAGGCAGCAGCATCCCTCTTGGGGCCACCCCCAAAGACGCAGAAGAAGCCCGCAGTCCCTGCTCTACCGGAGGAGGTTGCTCGAGACGAGCCACAAGACCCTTTCCAACAAGCGGCGGACCCCATGTTGGCAGCGCTGTCCCTGCAGAGCACTGCATTGACCAGCCTGGTGGCGCACCTTGCGGGCCACTCGACAGACCCGCTGATAGACCTGCAAGGAGGAAGCATCAGCTCCAGTTCGTCCTCAACCCGGGGGGTCGCCAGGCGGGAGAAGATGCAAAGCGACCTGGCACTCAGACAGAGCAATTACTGGCTCGCCTTCCTTCAGCAGCTGTCAAGGAGGATGAACCCCTCTCGCCCGGTGCCTACCTCCACAGATATGGCAAAAGATTCCGATCTTTCGTTCCTGGCCTATCTGGAGAGGCACGGTGCCTACAAGCAGTCGAAGGAGATCGGCACCATTCTCTGGGTGCTTGGGTATATCGTCGATGCTGCAATTGCGCAAGACTTCGATGGTGTCAGAGAACACCTTGCCCTCTTCGCCACGGCTCTGGATCAGGCGGCCTTGGACCAAGGATGGTCAACAGCATTCCTGGTAACTTTGGCCGAGGAGCCACCAGCGACTTTGTTTGCAGAGAAGGGAACCAGCCTCTCGGTGTCCAAGCCTTCAGCCCATTGATGCCAGTTGCATGGGGGGGCCGTGTTGCTGGCCTACCTGAAGGACCTGGATATCATGAACTCCAAGAAGCAGGAGAGTCCATCCAAGAAGGCGGGGGCGTCAGCCAGCCAAGAAACCAAGGAGGGCGATTCACCGAAGAAAAGGCCTCGCTTCCCCAAAAAAGCCAAAGGGAGGCGGTGGCCAAGCAGCTCAGTGAAGGCTATGCGTGTGTCTCCTCCACCACGTGACATACAGTCATCGCCACGGGAGGAGGGGAGAGATCAGAATTCATGGAGAGGCCAGCCTGATGATCACGCCGGCCAACCACAGCCCAGCAAGTTCAACCATGAAGCAAAATTCGATGCACTTCAGCAGCATATGTCGCTCCCGAAGTGGTGCGCGTGTTTGACATCGGCTGTACTCAGGACGAGGACACCCTTTGCTGCTTTTCTTGCCCGTACGTTCCATCTGCCTCGCACCTCCCAGAGTGCGTCACCGTCCATGTTCCCGGCCCCGCTCCCTTCGGGTGAGCCTTGGGCTCGGATGCCCCCAGACCTTTCTTCAAGGAAGAGAAGGCAGATCCACGTTGCTCGGGCCATCCACATCATTGTTCTGGCTTTGAACTTTTACCATGCTGGAGGACCATGCAGCCTGGAGGCCTTGGGGAGAACTCCGAACGCCTACCATAAGGGCATTTATCAGAGGATTCGGAGTTTAATCAGGGCGGAGGGCCAAGCTACGATTCAATGTATTGCTAGCTCTGGTCGTAGGCTTCCACAATTAGTTGCACGACTTTCGGAGCTATCTCAAGCCCTAACGTCCATTGGCCCTTCTTGCAATCCCTATGACAAGGTGTTCAATGGCTTTGAGGTTGCTCCAACCACAGACGCAGAAGAGCTGAAACCCTATAGGAATCTGGATGCAAAGAGACTTGTCCTGACTGGCAGGGGAGCATGGGACGCCACAGAGTTCCTGCAGGATGAACTGGTTCTGGCCTTCCGTGAGCCAGCATCTCTCCTCTTTACAGATGAGCCCCTACAAGAAGATGCGCCGCTGATTACCGATGATCCTAGCGAGATAGTCGCACTCGCATCAGTCTGGGACAAGCAAGGCCTGCTTTTCATCCATGATGGCAGAGCTTTTGATGAGCATCCTGAATGCTATACCCGCATCTTCAATGCGTTCAAGAATGTCAAGATGGACCGCCAAATCGGCGACCGACGTTCGAGAAATAGTTGCGAGGGCCGTGTGAAGGGCCCCAGTGCCTTCCTCCCATGTGGCCCCGACCTTTTAGACTGGTACTGTAACCCCAGGACCCACTACATAGCCCAAGCCATCACTGACAGAAAGGATTTTTATCACCAGTTTGCTGTTTCGGATAGCCGTGCTTTTTCGAACACTGTAGGACCGCCGGTCGATGCGAGCGAGCTAGAACAATTTGATGCCTTCTCGGCGTACCTCCTACGCCAGGCGAAGTCCAGATACCACAGAGGTCTTCACGGAGACCGTTTAGGCCTGAAAGGTCAGCATCTTGCAAAGGGCCAGCCGCAGAAGCTTTTCGTTGCTTTTAGATCGATCCTCCAGGGAGACCACACAGGGGTTGATGTAGCTACTAGTGCACACCTGTCGCTGTTGAAAGGCGTAGGCCTCCTTGATGAGAAGTCTAGGTTACAAAGTTGTACTCCCCTTTTTGATCAGTCAAACTGCGAAGGACTTTGTATTGACGACTATTTTGCAATGAGCCTTGAGACCCTGGGCACGCCGTTGCAGGCCTCGGGTGCAAAGCTGAAGATCGATCGGGCCCTTGAGGCCTATCAGCAGGCTGGGATTCTGGGAAGTCCTGAGAAGGACGTGCTGGCCGATAAGGCAAAGATTGTTGGGGCCGTATGCAACTCAAGTGCGGAGGCCCGCACCCAGGGTGTTGTTACCTTAGGCGCCCCTATTGAGAAGCGTATTGCACTTTCAGTCATCAGTCTGCAGCTGTGCACCTTGACGCACACCACAGACGTCTTACATGTGTGTTTGACCGGGGGTTGGGCGTCAGCCTTCATGTTCCGCAGGCCTCTCATGGGCCTTTTGCATAGGGTTTACGATCTTGTGCAGGGTTCAGTAGTGGACCCTAACCGCCCAAAGATTTGTCGCCTGCCTAGGTCGGTTGCCAACGAGTTTGTCCTTGCGGCAATCCTGATGCCGCTTGCGAGCTCAGACTTGAGCGCCGATTTCAACACACTGCTGTACTGTAGTGACGCCTCCAGCAGGATGGGCGCCTTTTGCTCAGCATCGATTCCTAGAGACCTGTCGTCGGTGATTTGGAAAGCATGTAAATCTAAGGGGGCTTACACGAGGCTCCTTTCGCAGGTTGAGTCGGACATCAAACGCATCGGAGGTTCCGAGTCATTTGAAGACGAGCTTGAAACGGCAGCGCAGCCGGTTAATGTCCGTAGGCCGTTGGCCTATCGTTTCGCGTTCGTCGAGCTGTTTGCGGGGTCCTCAAAGGTCACGGAACAGATGTCTCAACTCGGGTGGTCAGTAGGCCCGCCCATCGACCTGAGCTTCAGTCCGGAATATGACCTCTCGGCGGTTCATGTCATGAGTTGGTTGAGCCACCTAATAGTCACTAAGAGTATAGAGAGCTTTGCCTGTGAACCTCCCTGCACCACCTTCTCGATAATGAGAAGACCGCAACTGAGGTCGAAGCTGGAGCCGTATGGTTTCTGTCCCGCAGATCCACAAACCAAAACAGGCACAGTCCTCGCGTTGAGAGGGCTCCAGTGTCTTCATTTGGGGCACAGGGTTGGGACACCGGGCTGGCTTGAGACCCCTTTTTCTTCTCGTTTGAAAGCGTTGCCTCCCTACAAGAGACTCCAAGGGGCCAAAGGAGCTGACTTTTGTAGGTCGGACTCATGTTGTTTCGGTTCGGAACATTTGAAGCCTTTCGCTTTCCTCAGTGTTTGGGCCCCGCTCAGCAGGGTGAGGAGGAGATGTAGGTGCTCAGGTAAGCACCTGCAAGTGCAGGGTCAGTACACAAAGTCCAGCGCCATGTATACAGAGGACCTCGCACGAAACCTTGCTCTGGCGCTCCATGATGCCATTTTGGCAAAGAGGGCCCTCGACGAGGACTGGGACGGAGCCCCTTCCGCGGGACTTGAAAGCCTTCTGGTAAATCAGCTTGCTCTGGAAGCGCCTTGGCAGACTGAGAAGAAATGGACCTTCAAAGGAGCCTCGCACATTAATATTCAGGAGTCTGTCTCGGTCCTCAGAGCGATTGAGCATGCATCAAGGAAAGGCTCCCCCCAGAGGACCTCCATTCTCGTCGATTCGAACGTCGTTAGATGTGCGGTTTCAAAAGGACGAACATCGTCCAGAGGCCTCATGCCGATTTTAGCTAAGATCAATGCAGTTTCCTTAGCCGCAGGCCAGTACCTGTGTCTGCCCTTTTGTCCTACTCGTCTGAACCCTTCAGACGACCCCACTCGTGGTGTTGAACTTAGATCCCCAGTGCGCGAAGGTGCCACTCTCAGACTGAGCCTCTCGGAGTGGGAGGACATGGCAAGCCATAAGGGTCTTAGGAGCACAGCCGCCAACTGGTTGCGTTTTGTAGTTTTGGTGGGCGGGACCCATCTGTTGAGCCTCAGAGATCAGAGTTCGTTTAGGCAGCCGCCTGTGTGGGAATATAGATCCTTCCTCAACCGCGCTTTCCCTCGAGAGTTTGATAGCACACTCGGCTTCCCAGGTGAGGGCCCTCTGCTACTTCTCCTCTGGATTTTTGTTGCTTCTCCCCTGTCTTCATCCTTCCTGGGCGGGCGAGGCACTCCTCCCTTTTGGATTTCAGGAGCCATTTTGGGGGGGACGCGATGCGCCATGGCAGTGACGATAGAACCCCGGAACCCGGGAGACCAGAGAAGAGCTGACTACCGAAAGAGGATTGGGCCACTCCCCACTGGCAGACCTGTGCTAAAGGTCACTGAGAAGCGAAGAGAGGTGTTGCTGTCAGCCTTCACGAGGTGGCTGGAAGGACGTGGTGTTGTGGTCGATGACCTCTTTGTCAACACCTACCAGACTATAGAGGAAATCAACACACTGCTGACAGCCTATGGGCGAGAGCTCCATCTAGCGGGCCGACCGCTGAATGATTTCTCTGAGACGATAAACTCAATTTCCAGTTGGAAGCCACAGCTGCGCCGGACCCTTCAGGGCGCCTGGGACCTGGCGTATAGCTGGGTCAAGACAGAACCGGCGGTTCACCACACCGCCA